TACATGCACATTTGGACTGAGGCCAGGATGCGCGGGATGACCGTCGACGGTTGTAAAAACGGCAGGTGAAATCAAAATTACGACATACATCTGAGTGTGTATACAGCATTTTTCAATTTATAAAGTTTATTAACGCCGAAAGAAACATTTATTTAACATTAAAACAGCATAAAATATTCCATATGTTTAATCAACATTATTTTGTTTTAAATATTGTATGGGTTTGGCTTATATTTTTGCAGTGTCGCAGCATGTTACGAAAGTTATATACTGTATTGAAATGGAACTACTAAATGCAATTGGAATAATTTTTTTTCCCAACTGGCATTTTAATCGTGTTTTATTAAACTAGCACAATTATCATCAAGCCTTATTTTCAGTATTATTATTATTAAACAAATCGAGAACGAATGTATTCGATATTTCAAGTTTGTTTTTCACAAAATCCGTGTGGTCATTAAAATTAGATAATGTTTTTTTAACGATAACGAATTTATTTTTGTTTAGCCAACATAATTATCTGCAGTCAATTAATTTTATTTTTACTCAATACAATTTATTTAAATCGTTTTCAATTGTGAAGTTGCCGCTTGTTAAAAGACTTTTATACTTTAATCTCATTTGTTTTAAACAATTCATTACTCAATCATCTCGACTCAACTCTGATTTAACCATTATAAACATTATTGTCGAGTTCTACAATTAATACAGACGCTCTTGGTACTTAAAAATTGGATCAAAAGAATGAGTTTTTAATTGGCTACAAATTAGTGTAGTCTATAATTTTTGTCGTTTTTTCATCATTTTTTGCGGTTATCAAATACAAAACGTAAAATAAAATTTTACATTATTTATTTGTTATTTAAAATCAAATATTATTATTATTATTTAATACATTTGACATCCTCTTTAAAAGCTATTGCTTGTGTCAGAGACGACTGAAAAACCTTAATAGCCATCGCAACAGAATGGAACCCCTGTACCTATGTACAGAGGCCTGACACATAACCAACTAAACTAAGTAGGCCGTCTAGATTAAAAAATTTGTCATGTGTTAAGTTAATTTAAATTCAATTCCTATATGTATTTCATATATGGGCTTTTTTCGAATCCAATAACATTAAAACATTGCTTATTTGTACAAAAATGTGTAAAAAAATATTATTTTATTTTTGGACATGATGAGAACACAATTTTTTTTTTTTAATATTTATTAATTAATTCCAGAACATTATGCTGAATTTCAGATAATTGTGTAAAAATCCTGTGACATAATTTTTTTTCATTTTGATAATTTACTTATTTTGTGCGCATAAGAATAACCGGCAACTTAAGTATTTGTGACATAGTTACAATCAATCTTACCGACCTATCACTCTAAACTAAAGAAGAGAACGAATTTTAATATTTTTTGTTATCCTTTTTGAAGAATTCAGAGTACGCCTCAGTAATATTTTATCGTTTAAATGAAAACTCTTGTTTCTCCTGGCGATAATGAGAGTATTTTCTAGAAAAAATAAATTAAAAATTCTAAGAATTTCAGTTTGTAAGAGAATTTCACCACACCTGAAAAATTTGTTTATTTTTATATTTTAAAAATTATCTTCTATAAAAGAAATTGGCAAATTCATATTAAATATAATTACAAAAATTTTTTCTTTAATTTGAAGGTATTATTAATTATTACTTTAATTATTAGAATCAGTCATGAATACAAATATTGTAATTTGTATACACTGATTTTTATAAGAACATACACCTAGTATTCGAAAATCACTATCCTTCATTTCGTAATAATACATACTAAAACTAAATATTTTGTCTTTTAAAGTAGTGCTTTATTCTGCGAATATTAATAAAATACTTTTTTTCCATGGCTAATATTGTATAAAACTTTTAGTTATTTAATTTTGATTTAAGAGCATCAAAAATACTCTTTTATTGAAAATCATATGACTTTTTCATGAACAAACTTATCTGTCCATAAAAATTCTGAGTTCTCGCATGACCTTTGTTTCAAAAGAACCCTATTTTAATCTAGTTAATTTTAAAACTAAAAAAACGGCCTTTATTTTAGAAATTTAAAAAAATATCTTAAAATTGCCTACCTTAAAAAGATATTTTCAAAATTAATTTTTTTCATTTTAAACTGTTATAACTTTTTTTTTAAATACTGATACAAATTAAATTTACATGAAAAATACTAATGTCAATAAGTTTTCTTTTTAACATGAACAACTGTTTTTCAAAAAAAATGTTGCCAATATTATATATTTTAGATGCAAAGTGTTTCAAAGATATAAACCCCGTGGATAAATATATAAGCTGTTAGAAAGGAATAAAACATGTAAATTTCTATGAATATGGTGTTCAAAAGTATAAATTCTATATTTTTTATTTACTAGGAGATTCTGTTAACATGAACCATTTAATTAATTACAAAATAAAAATAATTTGGGAAAAATTCTTTTCTGAATTTTTAGTTACGTATTCATGTTAATGTATCAATTATTATGTATTTTTTAAGTTCATTCCTTATACTTTTTAAGGATATTAACTTAAGTTTTAATGAGAACCTATTTCATTGAAATTATTGTCAGTTTTTAATGTTATGGATGTCATAATCAAATTAATTTCATGAATATCTAATTAGATAATGTTTATTTCTATATATTTTCATAACTTAATTTACGTAATTTTTTTTGTGAAAATAAAAATAATTTAATTTTTTAAGCATAGATTTTACACAATTTTAATCGGTAGCCAATGTACGCTAATAATTTCATATTTTTATTCATTAATGAAAACGTAATAGTATGGAACAAGTTGTAGTATTAATATCAAATGATCTGTGCGCGTATAAAAAGTAGATGTTTGAACGCATGTGTGTTCGTGTGTGGGAAGTCGTCGTGCCCACCGGTTCTCTCAATGAACTTTATTGGCAGCAGCTAGTGAGAAGTAACTAGTAACAACCATTTGTACCGAATGTGTGTAAATGAGTAGACGCTATGCTAAGAGTGCGCGGAAAATAAAATAAAACCGTACAGAAAATATTTACCAATGGATCTAAGAGTTTAAACTCGAGGATTTTATAAATTATTTATTGCGACGATGATAACCAAATATAAAACGCCTAACAGCGTTCAATTTTTAAGCAGACTCAACTCAAATTTACTAGGTAGGTACCGTTTGAATATAAAATTAATTTATGTTTTTTTTTATTAAATTCAATTCGTTGAAAAATTACAATATATTTTTCTGAACAATTTTTTAAACTTTTCGTCAAAGGTAAAATTTGATAAATAAATAATATTATAAATAAATTATTGTTTTAATTCATTATACTTTTTAAATAATTCATAACACGCTCAAATACATTGTAAGTCCTTCTTATGAATAAATCCAATGATTTTTTGTGTAGAAGTATATAAATATATACTTTAATTTTTACTATCACAAACGCCAAAAAGTAAATACATTTGACAAATCAGAAATTAACAACATGCGTAGTATTGCACCAGCACTGGCAGTTCTGACGCAGTAGCCGCTACCAGTACTGGACCAGCACTGACATATGACTATGATAATAAAGTTTTTTCGTACAGGCCGAGCTGTTCTAGGAATATTGTATGGCCAGTATTATGTCAGTACTCTACAAGCAATGTCCTCCAAGTACTGAACGCCAATAATGAATCAGTACTTATAAGAGACGCTAGCCAGTAATAAGCTAGAACTGGTTGGCCAATGGTTAGTTGTCAGTACAGGATTGTTTATTAGGATACATGTTAAACTTTTATCCACATAAAAAATCAATAACTTTAGTTTTGAAGTCGTATATTAAAAATAGTCAATTAAAAATATATTTATCAATTAATTATATAAAAAAATAATCATAGTCAGTATTGATGAATATACTATTTTAAATTAAATACTTATAAAATAAAATTATTTACTTACCAATAATAATTTTATTTCGCTAATAGGAACTTTCCTAATTTTATTTTTTGTGACATATGATAATCATGCATTTGTATACCTATGCATAATTACCCTGAGAACTTTCGTGTTATACTTTTTAGCTGCTTAAAGGTAAACGAGATTTTACTCAAAAAGGAAACGAAGTGCATTCTTCGTGAGAATTTCTTTGTTGTAAAATTAATTTTCTTCAACACTTTGTTTTTAGTAGTATAACATATCCAAATATTTTACTGTTTTAAAATAATAAGACACAGGCAAAAAAGTATATTTTTAATTTATCCAACATTTTTAGTTGTGTATATCGAATCTAAAACCTGTTATCATTAAGTTGAGTTATTATTGTTATTGAAATTGACAATTGTTGTGTAACAATTACTATTATGTGCTCAATTTGGCGGCCAAACTGACCGGTAGTTTCGCTCCTTAACAATCAACAGCCCACATCCTCAATGGTTATAAAAATTAACGGATTCTGTTCAATTCAAGTAAGGGAACTATTATTATTTATCGGACGATATTATCAAGACGCACTATAAATACTCATTCTATAGTCAACTCAAAATTATTCAAAATATAATAATTATTTTAGCAACTCAATAAGCCCTTAGTGTCATTCACGTGCACTTCAATATTTTGATATAAAGAGCAGGAATTGAAGATACAATAGTATTTAAACTAGTTATATAATATATATTTATTAGAAAACATTATATTTTACCAAATATTATGTGAGCAATAACGCTCTATTAGAGAACATTTTAAAAAAGACAAATATATAATTTGTACATGTTTTTAGTTCATATTTTTACTATTTTAATATACAATAGTCAAAATAATTATGTTGATGTCCTATTGATAAAATAGTATCATAAATAACATTACATATTCAGCCCTATAATTAATCATATAATTACTACTAATATGGAGTATGTTTCTATAATATTGAAATATGCTTTCAATGTTTAACAAAATCATAAAAATTGTTATTTTTCTTCATTGAAACTTAATATTGGTTTTATTAGATTTGGCGGCGATTAGAAAACTATTGGAAGAGGGCGATGATGAAGAAATGTGTCCTAGTTGTGGTATGCCATTCGATAAGGGTAAAAAAAGAAAATTGATTGATTCATGTGGCCACGAACGGTGTTATTCGTGTATGTTCCGGAACGAAGGATGTCCGTTATGTGCAAATAACAACGATAATGGTAAATATTTGCTATAATTAAAAATTATTATCTATTAAAAGCTATTATATATCCTTTTATATAATTTAAGTTTACTACTGGGAACTACTTCTACATATGCATATTATAACTGTATAGTGATTTAAGCACTAAAAATAATTTGTTTAAAGTGTCTGAATACGGGCCGTTTTTTAGTAAAACACAATTCGTTTTTGTCCCATAAATACGAAAAAATTACTGATGCGATGAAAATTCTAAAAAAGATCTGATTTCAACGTCATGTCACTTGAGTTTCAGTCAGACGACTTTTTAAACTTAAGAGTTAAAAGATACATAATTTCATCTTTAAACTCATAAGTACAAATTACATTTTTATTTCTTTAAAATAAACTTTTGTAATGAAAAAATCAGTTTCAAAAAAGTAGCCTCACCGATACTTAAGTAACATGTAAGACCAATGAGTTAGCATAATTTTCAAAATATTTTACAATAATCACGAGAAAAATCAAATTAATAGAATTAAATAAACAAAAAAATTTTCTTATAAAACATAATTTTTATGTCAAGTTAAAATTATAGTTTCTTTTTACCTTTGGAATTTATTATAGTTTCGTATATAAAATTACATATTTTCATTATCATCAAGATATTACGTTGCCAAGATTTAATAAACAGACCTTTGTTATACACATGTGGCGTTAACATTTTATTTTTTTATGTTTGACATGTAAGTTTTACCCTAGTTCCAATCTAACCCATTAACATATGTTTCCCACGACGAATTATAAAGCAAGTTTTTTCGTTCCACCGGAAACCAAAAAAAAAAAATACCTAAAAGTATTAAAGAAATCTAAAAATTATCTGGGTAAAAGAGATTTTTACTTATTTAGTTTATAAACGTAAAACTGTTCTTAACATTTTTCAGTTAGATTCCTTTGTGTACACTTATTTTTTTTTTTTGCAGTATCCAAGGAGTCAATTGATGTCCCTGATCCTGTTAAAAGTACAAGAAACACAAGATCAAGGGTAAAAACTAATGGAAATTTTTCACCTTACATACAAGTAATTACTACTCACTCAACCGCACTTCCCAACATTTAACTCCGTTTCACTTTTTTTTAATAGTCTAGACAAGGTTCCCAGGAGCGAAACCATTCTCCGAGTAGATTACCCAAACCAAATAGATTGTTAGAAACCAACGACGTAATGACACAAAGTATGATAATAAAATAAATTTTACATTATACAATTTTTAATAACTTCAGTTAAATTATATGCATTATGTAATAAATAATCTATAATAATTTTAATTAAATAAAAGGTTGTCCAACTCCACCTCAGAGTAGAAGACGGTTTTTCTTAAATCCTAAAACAATTAAGAATCAATGGTCTATGCGTAGTGGATCTCGATCTCCTTCAGATAATACTCTTTCTGGTAAGTTACATGTGTATATAGATAAAAATTAATTGAGGCCAACAAACGAAAGTTTTTAACATTTCATCAAATTAAAAAATTGAACTGTAAAGTTATGAACACTAAATTTGTTAAAATCTCTATTAAAAATATTAGTAATGGGAAATGTTAAATAGTGACAATCGAACTATTTGATAGTAATTTTATAACTACTTTATAGTAAAAATATTCCATAGTTTTTAAATAATTTATAGTTTATGCTAAAAATAAACTAATCTCTATATAAAAAAATATTTGAAATCGCCCATCATCAACAAATATACAATAAAATATCTATTTAAAACTTTTGTTTCCCGGGTCTCCAATAATGACTATTGTAGGTTATTACTAAAATTATATATTTATAAAAATATTAAGTTATGTCGGCATCAACATCAACAACAATAACAGATCAACGGAGGTGGTCTTCCGTAGTATTGGGGAAAATAAGATCTTTATGGTCATTAAGAGGTTTGTTAGGCAGAATTTTTTTTTTTAAGTGTGCCGTGTTTTCCTTTATAGTATGATTGAATATTTTAGTATTTTTATTATATAAAATTTGAAATGTTGTGCAGTAGTTCTATATAACAATTAAACTAACACTAGTTTTATTTGTAATGAAGGTCAAAACTATTATGTTTAAATAATGCAGTAAATATTCTTTCAACAACAATCATGTTTTTTAAGTTTTTTATCATTCCGCCTCGTATTAGCATACCATTTATATACTTTTTTCGTTATATGTAAATAATAGTATTCTTTTGCTTTAACGTGTTTAACGCATGATTTTTTTAATCCGCATGAATGATAATGCACCAAAATACTTAAAGTACTAGGTCACAGTATTATTCTTAAGATATTTGATGTTTCTAAGTCAATAAGTATCTTTCATATATTGTTATAGATGAAGACGGTAGCTCTATTAAACAAAGAGGAAGTTTAAATCAAAGAAGTTGCAATTCAGATACATTGTACACTAGACTAGGACTACTTTTATCAAGAGATAGCAATTCAAGATCGTTTTCTGATGACGTTTCTTTAGTAAACATAAATTCAAAACCTATTTCTAGCAATGGAAGCCCTGTTTCTACACTTACAGCATCCTCAGAGACTGACACTCATAAAGCTGCTAAAGAACAATCATCTGACAGTATTGGATCTCTTATGTCCATGTCTGGACAAAGTAATGGATCTTCAAGTCCCCTTACCCGAAGACATTCAGTTACAAGTAAGAAAATTAAAAAAAAAAAGCTTTATGGATTTTAAAGTGTTTGTAGATTTAATTAGTTAATAAAATCATTAATAAATTAAAAGTTTGTATTAATTTATAAATATTTTAATGGGTTATTTTTAGTTATTTCTATAACAAAATTATTAACCAAATAATCGAAGACTTATAAAAAATTAAAAATTGAGTTAACTTTAGAAAAATTATTTTTAGACCAAACTCATTAATATATAAAATTATTAATGTGTCTTGAATAAAAAAAATAATAATAACCAATAAATACCAATAAGGTAATGTCTATGTCGCAGGCACTATAGATTTTAAATTTGATAAAATCAGAAATAACTCCAAAATAACTTTTTTTAAATTTACATTATTGATTTCAAGTCTCAAATTTTAATTTCTTGTTTTCTTATGTAATACTTAAGCTAATCAATATTATAACGTTTAATTGTAATATTAATCTATATAAAGGTTTAATTATAATTGCTTTAGCTTATAATACTAACATAGATTTCGTTGTCTTTGTCTGTGTGAATTTAGCGCTACAAGCTGGCTCTGTAGATGATTTAAGTTCGTTTAAATCGAGACGACAGTCAACCAGACGATCTGCGAGATCTGGTATAATTAGAGGACCAATAGATCCCAAAGGTAGCATATAAAATGAATTAGAATTTTTCTAATTGTAGTTAAAATTTATTTAGATTATCATTATTATTTTTATTTTTTTAGTGAGGTTTGCACAGTATAGAAAATCTCCACTGCCACAACAGCAGCAGCTTGTATTAAAACCTCTATTTTTTGAAGTACCCCAACAAGAATCTGATCCAATATTTTTAGGAAGACAGTGGCTGATGCAAGATATTGATAATACACTCCATTCAGAATCGCCAGGAGTTGTGATTACTGGTCTTCCGGGTACAGGAAAAACTGCTCTACTTTTACAACTTGTTGAACATAGTTGTTTTGGACGTCATAAATCAAATTGTAAATAATAAAATTGAATTTTTATCAATTAAAAAAATAAGTAAATCAAAATTTCTCTTTTAGTTGATAGCCAAACTTTGAACGATAAAGACAGACAAATAATTACATCTCATATCAAGCTTCCAGAAGATTTCAAGTCTCTCGCGTCACGAGTAGTTGCGTATCATTTTTGCCAAGCTGATAATAATAGTACTTGTCTGATACCTGAATTTATACATTCATTAGCAGCTCAACTATGTCAAGCACCACAATTAGACTTATACAAGCAACACATTTTAACTGAACTCAACTTACAGGTAACTTGAACACTATATTTTTATAATAAGTAATTAGTTTGCTTATTAAATAGTAGTAAAATAATTTTATGTTTACTTTTGAAGGATTCTTTATCAATGAGAGAATGTATAGTTGATCCTGACGCAGCATTTACGAGAGGTGTTTTAGAGCCTTTAAACACACTCAGCAGGCTGACTAATACAATAGGTACTGACAGTTTAATAATTGTTATTGATGGACTATGTGAAGCTGAATATCATCGACCCGATCATGGAGATACAATCGCGTCCTTTTTAGTTAAACATTTACCAAATTTTCCTAGTTGGCTCAAGGTTATCGCTACATTAAGAACTAATTTGGAAGAAGCTTTACCTGTACTTCCTCTTACAAAAATAAGGTACTAAAATACGTTATTTATTAAAAAAAAACATATTAATAGATAATTATGTAAAAAAAAAATGTTGTGAAACCATTCTTTTTTTTTTTATTAGTATGGATGTAAATTCGACGAATAAAGAAAATGTGATTAAAGATTTAATGGATTATATTAGTTTTCGAGTCAATAATAGTGCTAGCATTCAAAATAATTTGATATCCGTTGCTTCTGGTCAATTAAAATTCTGTCAACATTTACAAGTTAGCTGCTTTGGATCATTTCTTTTTGCTAAACTTACATTAGATTTATTCGAAAGAGGTCATCTTGTAGCGAAATCGCAAAGTTTTAAGGTTTTACCTGTGACATTAGCACAAATATATCAACTGCATTTTAACTTGAGATTTCCAACAACTAGTTCATTTGAAAAAATCTCTGATATATTAAGTGTATGTTTAGCAGCACTTTACCCCTTAACTATTTTAGAAATTTATTATTCTGTTAATGCTTTACACGTTGAAGACTTCATTACATGGGAAGCTTTTTTACAAAGATTTAAGGTAAGTTAAAGTTTAAGTTTAAATATTTGTATATTTATATCATTTTCATATTAAACAGCAATTTTAATTATTCATTTAGCTACTCTCAGGTTTACTAATAAAACGAATGGATAATACATACATGTTCTTCCATCCATCATTCAGAGAGTGGTTAATGCGACGTGAAGATAATGAATCAAAAAAATTTCTGTGTGATTTAAGGTACATATATAATTTCATAAACATCTCCAGCTAAACATTTTCATTTAAAAATACATTTTAAAATTTAAGAAATGGTCACGCTGGAATTGCTCTTCGATTTTCAAGACTTCAAGCACCTTTAGGCAGTGAAAAGACTCTAGAACTTGGTCACCATATATTAAAAGCACATATTTATAAAAATATGTCACTTCATGATACTTCTTCGAGAGATCTTCAAGCTAATTGGATGGCTTCCGTTTCAGCTAGTGTATCTTCAGCGTTGTGTTCTATGAGAAATATCTATGCGCCAAATATTAAAGTTTCTAGACTACTATTACTTTCTGGGGCTTCTCCAGATGTTATAACAGATTTATTAGGCCAAGCTCCTGCATTATGTGTGTATGCGAATGAAGGTGTTTATGATATGGTTGCTTTATTATTGGAATTTGGTGCGACGGTTAATGTATCAAATAGTCAAGGAAGAACTCCACTATGGATGGCTTCAAGTAAAGGTCATATAGACGTTGTAAAGCTATTGATAGAAGCTGGCGCCTCTCCCGGTTTAACTGATTCGTCTGGAAGGTAAGTATTTACTAATTACTAGAACCTCTTCAACAATTTAATTGATTGTATATATATATAATATACTTATATATATATATATATATAAATATAATTTTTTTTTAATTTACAGATGTCCTTTAGTAGAAGCAGCTAAAAATAGCCATTTTAATGTAGTAGCTTTTCTTCTGGGTTGTGAATGGAAAGTGACGAACGCAAGACTAGAAGTTGATCATATTGATGCTTCTCAACAAGCTTTAATTCAAGCTGCTGGACAAGGAGTGGATGAAATCGTTGAATATTTATTAGACGTCGCTGAAGTTATAGTGGATGGACAAGATAGTTTATCTGGTGAAACTGCCTTAACTCTAGCAGCTTCCAATGGTCAAAAATCAACAGTATCCTTATTACTCAGCAGAGGAGCCCAAGTGGCATCTACAAATACTAAGGTTAAAGGTTTATATTGACAATATGAAGATAATTTATAATAATATTAATTATGTATCACTCACAGTGTATGAATGCCCTGGTGCTAGCAGCTCGCGATGGCCAATGGGAAGTTGTGGAGACGTTATTACTTAATGGAATAGCGGCTGATCTTGTAGATTCGGAACAAAGAACACCACTAATGATGGCTGCATCGGAGGACCATTCAAATATCGTTGAACTTCTTCTTGATAATGGTAAGATTTATTATACTTCTTTTTGATTAATATACAGTAAAATAATGTTTTATACTAAAAAGTTCTACAAAAAAATAAATTATTGATAAGAGTTGACAGATGAAATTTCATTACATTGTAGTTTCTACCTTTAGGAAATTAATTTTAAATCTTGAAAATTAGATTTATAAAAAAAAAAAAAATTCTATATTATTATTTTTTTTAATAGTTATTTTTATACATGTCAAAAATAAAATTTGTGTATTATGAATTTAAATTATTTCTAACAAACATATAGATAAATTTTATAATTTATTTTTAACGCATTACATTTTATTTAAACACACAGGAGCTAATTTAAGTGCTCATGACCGTCAGGGGCTTACACCTTTATGTTGGGCATGTCTTAAAGGAAGAGTAGCTGTTGCTCAATATTTGTTGGATCATGGAGCACCTCTCGATCATGCAGATAAATCAGGCAAAACAGCTCTTGATTTAGCCACGTTAAATGGAAATCCAGCTCTAGTGCAAGTTAGTTATAATGACTAAAACAAATAAATACATTTTTTTATTAATTCATATGTATGGAAAATTAATAATAAAAGTGTGTTCTTATATTTTAGTTACTTTTGGAAAGAGGAGCATTAATAGAGCATGCTGATTTATATGGTATGCGACCTTTAGATAGAGCAATAAGCTGTAGAAATATACCTGTGGTACAAAACTTTTTAAGAAGAGGTGCCAAATTAGGACCAACAACTTGGAACATGGCTTCAGGAAAACCAGATATAATGTAATTATTTTTATAGACTAACATCATTGCCATAAATTTATTGAAAAATTACTTAATTATATTATAAATTAAAAAAATTAATTTATTTAACAATAAGTTTTTATATTTCAGTAAATTTTACTGGTGATGACTAATTAATTTTAAAATGACTATTAACACTATTTAACTAAGTTAATTTATTCAATTTGTACTTCTAAACATTATGTCTTGAATATAAAATCGTAGCGATATTATTGTATAAGAAATCTTTTACATTTTTCAATGATTTTTTTTTTAAATCTTCAATATATATATAGATATGTACTCATATTTAATGTTTCAATTTTTGCAGGCTAGTATTGTTGAATAAATTACTAGAAGATGGTAACACTTTATACCGAAAAGGTAGATTGAAAGAAGCGGCATATAGGTATACATATGCACTGAACAAGTTTCCAACAGAAAATGAACAAGATCCTACATTTAAACAACTACAGATTAATTTTTATCTGAATACATCGCGATGCAAACGAAAATTGAACGTAAGTAACTTATTATTTACAATAAATAAAACTTTTTATCTTATGAAACTATAATGCAAGACTTAAACATTTATTTATTATAGGAAGTTACTGAAGCAGTGGAGTTTGCAGAAAAAGTTATAAAATTAAGGCCAACTTCATACGAAGCTTATTATGCAAGAGCAAAAGCTCTAAAAGATTTAAGGTAAAAAAAAATAACTTGAATCTTCTCATAAGGATTGATAAAACCAATATTATTGATAGGTCATAAATTTTAACTTAACTTAAAATGCCATTTCATTATTTGTAGGAGATTTGAAGATGCGCTTGCTGATATAAAAGAGGCCGTACGGTTAGTGCCACCTGGGAGTTCCGACATCAGACACGTTTTGTTCAGACTCAAAGATGACATTCAAAATAAATTAGCCTTAGAACAATCTGTATACAATAATGAGATGACCGTTCCATTGTATCACTAACCCATTGATGTTCCTATCGATTTTTAGCCAATTCGCGTTATACTTCATTTTCGTTTTAAACACTTTAGTGTAATACCAAAACGTAATATCAATACTTACTTGATACTAGAATATTATAAAATTGAAACACCTGAAGAAGATGGTACTAAAAAACTCAATAGTTTAGAACTCACATCGTGCGTGATTTATTTCTTTAGTTTTTTGTATTTCAGAGTACAATACATTTAAGTTAAAATTATTTATTATAAATTCACATAGTATAATGTTCCTGTGGTTTTTGATTGTTGTTATTAATTGACTAATTTATATAATGTGATTTTATCTGTCAATTAGACATATATTTGTGTGAGAAAAAATAAGTAAATTTTGAAAATTTTATTTTATATAACGGAAGTGCAATCGAGTTATTAATATGAATTGGTTTACCTAGTTTATTTTATACTATATTTTAGTCAAGGAAAATATGTTTTTGTTTCATAAATTAAAATTTAACGTATACCTACCTAATTAGTTTATTGAGATGTTAAATTTTATAAAAGCTTTTTATGTTTAATTTTCTTTGTTTCAATAATTTATTAGTTTTTGTAATAATTAAATTTATTAAGAAAATAAAATGTATGATAAAACCATAAAATCTAGTCATTAGTTTTGAAATTATAATTTAATTATAGTTTTAAGAGTTGATTATGGAAAAGAAATGTTGAGAAAGAATATCAAACATAAACAATGTGACAATATTTTCACAAATTTAACAAAAGTATAACAAATATCCTTTGGTACATCATGAATATCTCGACTATATTAGTAGTACGCACTCTAACATTGAAAATTAAAACTAACGTAACAAATCTTATTCAACACTTTCAAGTAATGAACATTTTAACCGTTAGATAACATAAGATTCAACTAACACATACATAACCAGCAACTGACTTATCAGTAATTTTTTGTGGCTTTTGAGTTTAATATTTTTTAGTTTTTAAAATAATAATATTTTTAATATAGTTTTAATTTTATTGAATTCATATAAAAATAAACTGTTTTAATCCTGATTACTCATTTTCTATTAAAAATCAAAGAATTCCCTATAATAATAACCTTTCTTAATAGAGAAGAGTATGAAACTAGAATGATAATCTTAACTAATTATATAGTAGTGAAGGATGCAATCGAAAATACTGGTAAAAGAAATCATATTCTATCATAGTAGTGGCAATCACATCATTTTTTTTTTAAATACTATTTATAACAATTTTCACCTTTTTAAATAAGTACTAGATTTACAGGAATTCTTAAAATCAAACAATACTAGAGTTAGAAAATCAACTTAACGTATAAAGCTAAGAAAGTTAAATGTCCTTCTAAACATAATTAAATTATTTAACGAACTGGTATATTCGTACAGTGAAAATCTAATGATTCAACAAGAATTTTCTTAAAACGCAGTAAAACCACTTTGTTACTGTACCTTTTGTTTTGCTGTAATATACAAAGTGTCCATAAAGTAAGGAAACCGGTCAATTGTTACAAACAATGATAACAACAGTATCCATTTCCTTACTTACTGAATACCAATATAGTGCAACTACGCCACCATATCTTTTTTAATTTTTATAATTAAGAAAAGATGTTATAATCCTAATTTAATTTGTCTTTTTATAAACAGGTATTACAAAATACTTAATTTTTAGAATAAACGTATCTTTTTCAGGTATAAAAATATTAATTAGAGCCTTGATATAACATAAGTAAAATAATAGTTTATCCACCACTTTAACAATATTTCTTTTAACAACAACATGTATTAAATTAATTTTAATGTAAAATATTTTCTTTTTATTAAATTATTAATTTGTATTTCTAAATCATTTAAAAACAGATTTTACTAAGAACATAACGTTATATTAAGAACTAAAGATGGATTACAGAACTCTTTTCTATGTTTCTTATGAGAGTTCATTAATGAGTTAATGTGTAACTGAAACTTAAATAAAATTAAACGATAACATTTGATAATTTCTTCAAATTTCACACATTTAACAAAGCATTTTTCTCTACATTGAATAATTTGAATCAGCATTGTAAAAAAATATTCTAAATCGAAAATCCTTTTTTATAAATTAAAAAATCTACCCCATTTTATCTGCTAATTTGAATATTTATACAATTTCAATATCAGTCAAATATAATATTATCACTTTTTTCTTTTTATTAACCAAGTGCGTAATTTAAAAAGTAAAATAAGCAGAGTAGCTCATACAGTTTAATTATTTGTGTCAAATTTCGTAAATAAGTATTACTATTTATTTATGAAATAAATATATTATATTACGTTGTTTTTATCAGATTTATATGATTCATATAAATTGGATAAAAACATAAATTTGAAAAATATTTTAGAATTTTATTATTTATTAATCCTTCATCTCAATTTCTTAACTTAAAATTTAATATTTTAACTTAAATTCAGTTTAAAAACTAGCTATTTGTATTGCATTTTCTAAGTTTTTATAGCAATTAAAAAATAAAGATATTTGATGTTATAAAATGTATATTTTTTATCCAAGCAAAATATAGATTTACTTCTTTAAATTCGAATAAATATATTTTTAACTCAAAATTTCTAGTTAATTATGAAAATTTCAAATTTTTTTACCTTTTTTAAATAGGAACGCAAAACTGATAAAACCTTTGTATTTATACGACTTATTCCATACCCAATGCATACAAAAGATTCATTAAGAATACACTCATTTTATTGGAAACTATATAGTTTTCATAAATATCAATATTGATAGTTTTAAATTTTTGTAAAGGAACATATTGTTTGATTCAAAAATCTCTACAATAATATGTAGCCTTTTTTCATCTCTTCAGAGATAATAAACCTCAACATTAATAATTTTAAATAAGAACCCCTAATTTTACCTTAATATTATGATAGAAAAAAATTGTTTTAACAATTTTGTTCTTATAATTTTTTTTATCCGATTAACCGTTCGTCTATTTCAGAACATTGAAGTTAAAAGTTTTCAAACACAATTTCTATTGTTATTCTATTTTTTGATAACTACCTTAAAAATAATTTATGAACCTTTAAAACAGAATATTATTGCCTCCGGTATTATGAAAACCGAATTAGTGATAAATTTCTGTTTTGAATTCAAATCTTTAATTAATTTAGAAAAACAAACAATTATTCAGATAAAAAAAATTATAAGAACATTTTTTTTTTTAAATTATCAAGGTAAAAATAGGGGTCCTTATTTAAGAAAATTAATGTTAAGGCTTTTTATCTCTGAAGAGATAAAAGGGTAAAGTTTGATGTTTTTCAATTCAACCAAAGAAGAGGAAACAGTATGAACCATATAGCGAAAGTTTGGCGGTTTGTACCATTTAGTGTTAGGGTATACAATACGTTAGCATTTAATAACTTGACATTTACAGGCCTTTACAATAACATATATCATTAATATTAATTTAACAATAACAATAGATATATTATGTATATATATATTCTTCTATTACGATATTAATATAGACATAAATAGTATATATATCCTTAGAAAATGGACAAATATACACTTTTAGCTTCGATGCGAAGCTGAGAAGGTACTAATTTTACTATAAAGTGTTTTTTTTTGTGTCTGTTACCACTTTTCTCAGCTCTCACCGAACCGATTTCTTTCAATGATACGTCAAAAGATCACAAATCATATCTAGTCGAAGACATTACCCTTAAAAATTGCAAAAATTTCCCTCGTTCCCCGTAAATGGGGGAAACCTCCAAAAAAATTAAATATTTATTCAACTGTTTATTATTAATTCTATCATAACTCTAATTTGACAAAAGTGATGTTTACATTACTTGACCTTTTAACTAACAATATATTTTAGATAGAGAAACAGTTCAAATATTATCACTTTTAAAGCATTATTTATAATAAACATGATCGCTTATTAATTATATTTATTTATAATGAGTATTAAAAATGAATAAATAATTTAAAAAAGTAATCTTCTTTATTTTCTACCTTTTTCAAAAGCAGCTTTAATTGAAGCTTCACTAGTAAAAAATGAACGTCGAAAAACTGGTTTTTCTTTTTTACAAACCCCATAATCAAATAAAGTACACTTTCCCTGAGATACAGGGGCAGTTAAAAGACTGTTTATATAATCAAGTCATGGAGAATTNGTTTATGTAATCAAGTCATGGAGAATCAAATGACATAGAAAGACTTGTACTAGGTCTAGATTTCTTTAATAATACATTAGTTTCAGGATTTGATTCTAAATCACGTGTCAACTTTCTTTTTCTCACAACTGCTTCATTATTTTTAATATCACCAAATAATAAATCCTGTAAGTTATACATGTATTAAATCTATGATTATTAAAATAATAAATTGTTTTATAATAATTACAGTCTTGCGAGGAGTATCTGAAGAATATTTTGTAATTTTTCTTTTAAGAATAATTGATGTCTGGCTAATAGTATCTCCTTCTATTAATGTACTGAATCCAAGTAGAAGTGAATCTGGAGACTAGAAATAAAATAAAATTAGGAAAAAAACTTTTAACCTTTTTAAATGGTAAAATAATTACCGATCTTGTTGGGGATACAGCAATGTCTAAGAATTCATCATCTGAAACAGCTGTATATGATGTATTGCTCTCAGATCGCATATCAGATAATGTCGACACTGATCTAGAATCATCTGCATGAGCAGTAAGAGAACCACTGTCCTGTGAATTAGGATCATGATCTTCAAGTGGATTTCGTCGTCTTACACGGCGTTTGTATTTTGCAAACTAAAAACCATAAATTACAATATTTCTTTTCATTAATATTGAATTTCTAGAAAATTATTAAATTTAATAGTAAATTTGATATCTAACATTGATCGTTCTTTTTAACTATAGCTATTTAACAATACATAATTAACAGTTTAGAGATGAATAAAAAATTTAATTAAATTTACTGTAATAAATAAGCAGACATAAGGTTAATTATTTAATTTATGCTGGGATTAATTAATGTTAATATATTATTAATACAAACTTCACAGTTTAAGAATGCACAACAGTATGGAATCTTGCTTGACATAATTATTGTACAAATAATATACAATGTATAACTTATACAAATTTGTATAATTATATTATTTAAAATATCTTTTTAAGTTTTGTGTTTACATAAAATAATATATTTTTAAGGATTTAAAAAATTTTATTATAATTTTGTTTAAATAAATATTTGTTTATTTAAGGTATTAATAATAAAAATATCTATACAATTTAATTGTTATTGATATATTAGCCAAGATTAAATTAAAATAAAAACATGCGTTTATTGTATATCTTACTGTAGGACTAGAACGAGATGCGGATACAGCTTTAGACATCACTACAACCATACATTTTAATGAATTTTCTTTTTCGATTAGACTGTTCATAATTTTTATAACACATTTCAGTGGGCTATCGTTTATAGTTTTTGAGTTTCTCTTGATCAATCTATAAATGAAAAATTATTTGTCTCTCTCTAACTCCCTCTATATCCTATTTCGTAAACCCCTCAAAATATGAGTCATCTGGAAGAATTTTCCGTTTTCTGCGCTTTAAAATTCGCGTTCTTCGACTGCAGTCTGTTGGACTGTTTGAATAATGATTTAGATATGGCCTAGGTCTGGCTCTAATTTATAATGGTTGTATTACACAGGTAAGTAATATTATTTCGTTTGATAAAATTTATTTTATTTTGGCTTCGATGCGAAGCTGAGAAGGTACTAATTTTACTATGATGTGTTTTTTTTGTGTCTGTTACCACTTTTCTCAGCTCTCACCGAACCGATTTCTTTCAATGATACGTCAAAAGATCACAAATCGTATCTAGTCGAAGACATTATCCTCAAAGATTGAAAAAATTTCTCTCGTTCCCCGTAAATCTGGGAAACCTCCAAAAAAATCTAAAAATCAATAATTTTTTCAATTTTTTTTTACTTAAAACTGCCATAACTTTTTCAAAAATGAACAAATCGATATAATTTTTTTTTTATAGATGCTCGATGTCTTTACCTATCATTTGGTATATTTTTTTTATAAATCTGACTTTTTACCTGCCTACAGGTGGGGATTCAAAATGACAACTTTTTCACAAAAAATTAACTTTTGAAAATGTTCTGGAAGAACTGACACTTATATATATCTTAAATTAAAGCTAATGTAAGATACTTTAATTTGAAAAAAAAAAATTTGACCTCTGGCCTTGTCTTCGTGGTGAAAATGGCTACCGAATGGATCAACACAATTTTTTTATGAGAAATAATATTTTTTAATAATCCCTTTTTCATTCGACATACTTTATCTTAATCAGGATATTAATAAGGAACTAGCAGATCATGTAGCTTTTGGATTAATATACCAATTTTTTTTAAATTAAACACTATCTAAAGATTTGAATCGAAGCGTTTATTTTTGATAGTTTTATTTTAATCACTGTCAGATATCATTATACTTGATCCAACCATGCCACATCACCACTGTGCCACTACCCCCCTGTGCTGGGTTTTTTACTAATAAAACTACGTATTACTATTATTTTAATAACCTATATCATAGGACAGTGAACATAAATTAATTTTAATGTGAATTAAAACCATTTTCAAAAACACATAAGTACATTACAGTATCCTATTTATTTATATACTATTCAATCCTTCGCTAGCTGTTGATAATTTCATCACTAATTATAATAATTACTATAATATATAGGTATAATACTATCAATCAGTATTAAAATTATTTTATATTAATATTACGATTGTAATAATTATAACCATATGACTTAACGTAGGACAACTTATTACATGATTAAAAAAAATATAATTATAAAAACATATATTTAAAAATTTTTGATTTTTAGTATGTGTTGATATGATAAGAAAGGCTACAAAATAAAAATGGTAAGCTCAAGAGTCCTAAAACATAAAATTATTTTGTAATTATCTATGTTCAAAACTTACATTTAATATTTCATGTTAAGAGATAAAACACACAAATTTATAAAGATTTCGTATGCAATTTATTTTAAAGAATTTTTGACAAGAAAAATAGTAATAGATTGTACCTCAGAATGATTAATATTAATAAATTTGTATTTTTAAAATTCAACCATATTTGCCAAAACGTTTAAAGCATCACTAAGTATAGTTCTTTCTTCTTGTGATGGTTGATCAATGTCAATACATTCATTTAAGAAATGTTGAACAACTTGGATCATAGTATTTTTTTCACCTAAGATTTCATGATTTTCTATACGTTGAATACTGAAAAATCATAAAAATTGATTGATACTAGAAATAATAATATAAAAAGATCTATAACGTACCATCCGTAATTTAGTTTATGTATCAAATTATTTGAAATATTTGCATTTTCTTTGGATTGAAAATAAATTAAAATAATAGGTACATTAGAATTGTTTAATATCTCATCTCTTATTTGTAGAACTTCACTATTTAAGTTCCATAAAACAAGCTTTTTAATCCTTAAAATAGTTCTAGCAACCATGTATAGTGCTAAAGGACATCCGTGACCCGAACCCAATACTGAATATTCTTCATAACCTAATGCCTAAAAAAAAAATTAAAGAGTGAACTTGTTGAATGTTTTAAATGTCCAAAAATAAAAACTTATATTATTCCTGATAAATTTTCCATGTTATCATAACTTTAATTCTGCATATGTATGAATTGTTCAAATTTAATATCCTTGAGTAATTATATGAAAAAATAATTATATTTTGATAAAAAAAAAACACTCCTTTATTAGTCGTTGTTCGAAATTTATAATACATATAAATAGAAGTATTATGGATTAAGTATAAAAATTAATATAATTTTTTTTTTTTTTGGCACATAAAACGTAAATAATTTTACTACTCAATTATTCATTTAGATTTATATAGTATAATCTTGAATAGTAAATTTTATTTTATTTATTTATACCGCCATAAAAAAAACTAGGAATTTAGATTCATGGTCATAAATTGTGTGTTGGCCAATAATTTCATTGTTACACTTTAAAATTGGTATTTCCACTTGAATTATTGTATATTTTTCTAAGAATTCGCTCTTAATATCATCATCGATATTTAGAAATACATCTGTGCATGTAACATAGTTTATAATAAATTAATATAGCTATATTAGAATTAAATTGAATAACTAAATTTATTTAATTTTAAATCACTACCAATAGATTGATATAACAGCAGTAATACATTTGGTCCGTTACCCTCTTGTTCATAATGAATACCACCGTTAATAGTTAAAATCTGGCTTCTTATCTACGTAGAATAAATTAAAATGTTAGTTGTTTAACAAATTAGTATAAAAAAAATTACGAAAAGATGAATTACAAGATATTAGAAAAAATACTCAGGCTGTGTTAATATTAATCATATTTATAATTATATTAAACCATGATTTTTCTAATGAACAAAATAAATTTTCACAAATGTTTTTGGTTTGGTTTAAGACCAATAACATTATTTTCTAACACTGAATTTCACAATGGTTAAATATAAAAAAAAAATGTGTGCATAAAATTTTGTTTTAAAATATAATAATGATTTACTAAAAATTTAAACTGTGGACTTTTGTTACAAGATTTTGGAGATGTTTTGACTTAGTCAACGTCTTTTAAATATTTTAAATAATTTAAAAATTTCTATCTAGGACCTGATAAATCTCATTCTTTTAAAACAAATAAAATTATGATTTTATTTTAAGGACTTTTATGTATATTTGTTTTTCTCTCTATGCTAATTAATATGTATTACTAATTAAGTAAATGAAAATACAAAGCATTTAATTTAAGTGGTATGAACATAGTAATAAATATTCTTACAATATCTATGCCACCCTTAATAACATTTTTTTATTATTATTAATTTAATGTGAAATAAGTTAACTGGTTATGTACGATAAGTAAATACCCAATTGAGAACGTTGTACAAACATATTCAAACTCTTTACACAATTTTATTTTAATTTATTTTTACTTTGAAATATATTAATAGAGACTGATTAAACTAAAATGAACTGTAACAAATTTTATACGTTAATAAACTTATTAATTTCTAACAATAGATTTTAACTCAGATAAAACAGAAAAACAACTTAACAAATAAAATATTTAAAAGAGCAAAACAATTTTTTTTATAAAAATATCACAAGGAATAAAGTTTGGACTTATATATATGATGTCAAAAAATGTAATCATCGTGATAGTTGTGTCAGAAGATTCTGATATTTTGTTTTCAATTGTTATGATTAATTCATTGACATATGCTATGGAATTGTGTGGCAAGATTTCAGCAAAAAAACAGATAGCTTAACTTTCCAAAAATTTACTTTTAATCTTAGATTTTTAATAGCTTATGATATTTTTTTGTGCATTTATAATTTGAGCAATGCAAAAAATATCTTTGAAGTTATCCAAATAATCTTTGCCAGAATTTCAGAAGTATTAATATTATAAAAATACTTATTTAACGTATATTTTGATCAAATGAACATTTAAAAATATTGAAACATTAATAATTCATAAATTGTCAATTTTTAATTAAATATTTTATAACCCCCTTTAATTTGTTTTATCAAATATTAAACTTTAGCTTAATTACGCCATAACAAATAATTGTTTTGTTTATAACCCTTATTTTTGAAAATTTAAATACCATTTTATTTTTTAACAAGGTTTCTATTTTGAAGAAAAAAATCATTTAATTTCGAGGAAATTGCGAGTTTTTAGAACTCAGTATTTCTTAACTATGTGAATAAAATAATTAAGTAACAAATTTTTAAATAATTTAATTAATTTGTTTAAAGTATTTAATCCTTAATATCGAGAAAACATTTAGTTAAACATGCGTCTATAACATAATGTTGCTCGTTAAAAAAACATGGAATATAATATTCCATTATAAAAGTATAATAAGAAAACTAATAAAATATAAGGTTTAGACAGACAAAAATATAAACACCAAATTTGTAACAATTATTTTTTATAATTATCTATAACACGATTAAATCCTTAGACGCCATTCAAAATATATGAACTAGTATATTCATTCAAATTAATACCCGCAGATTCAACTTACTCATAAATTACTTGTATTTTAAGGTTATGCTTCAAATAATATAAACATTGAGGTATAAAAGAACAGAAGGTGTTGTTATTTTGATTAAACAGATGAGCTGTGAGAATTTTTATTAAATAAAAAAAACAAAAAATATGGTTTGCATCAAAATAATTTTATAAGAAATACGTTCAATTTATTTTGTATTTAAAATTTAATTAGATGTTTTATAATCTATTATAATAGTAATATAATAATTATTAACTATTTAGATAGTTTCAATAATTAAATTTTTAGTTTACTTACTTGAACAGTTAATATGTTGTATAAAACATAAACGGTTATAAAATGTTTGAATAACATGATAAAAGTTTATACATCAAAATGTAAAATTTAATAAGCTATAAATTTATCTCCCAATTTATCTTTGTACTTTATAAATTGTTTTAACATGATTTTTATTAAAATTTCTTGTTATCGAGGTAAAACTAATATTTATTTTTTTGTATAAATTAAGATTTATCTTTAACATGCAGCAGATTTTATTATTTAAACTAGCGACAAAGATGTATTAATAGTAACAAATAAGTGAAAATAGATGTTTAAATAAATATATGGAACAAATGTAGTCATTATGAAACAAAATTATAATTTGATTACTTAAATATGTAAAATAATTTTAATAAAATTATTATTAATTAAAAACTCAAATATTTTTGAGGACATATTGGATTTTTTCTTTAATTTGTTTAAATAACTTTTAACTACTAAAATAAAATTAATTAAAAAGCTTAAAATTTATTATTAAATGGTTTTTTTAACTGCTCTTTATGTTTTAATAAAAAAATATTCGTTATTAATAGTATTCTTTCATTATACTTGTTTTTAAAAAGTCTTTATTTTAATTTACAAATATGATCACTTTATGATTGATCTGTAGTTTTAACATTAATGGTCGTTAAAAGGATCAATACTTTATTATAGTGTATAATTTTTATTTTATCAAATTAAATTCATGAAGTATTTATAAATATGCCGAACGAATTTCTATGTAGGCTATAAAGCAACTACATATTATTAGTGTAGGTGTATTCATATCTTATACTTGAATTTACACTTTGCCTTGTAAAATGTAAAATGCACATTTATCGAATATTATTAATATTTAAAAAAATTATAAAATCAAAGTTGTTTGTAACTTTTTTTCTATAATAATATGATTTAAAAGTAGGTGTCTCCATTTATGAAAATTAAATATAAGGTTTTTTACCCTGAAGAATTTAAAAAAAAATTATTTAACCACATATGATTATAGAGTTTTTTAAACCAAATAAATTTTCCAATCGTAGAACGTAAATGTATTTTGAACACTCATGTTTATCAAATGTACACGTTTATTGAAATTATACTTTCATCGAATAATAAAATTTTGACCGTTTACCTAATTGAACAATATAATAAGTCCGTGACGGCCAACCGTGATGTGCGATAATCTTTTTTTTCGGACCCTCTGTAAAGAAGTTTTACTTCAAAAAAAAATTTAAATAAAGACTCAATATAAGCAACCACCTATAATAACTTAATAGTTAAATTTTTCCATGGTGCTGATTATATTTACCAGTTATATTTTCAGCCATCACTAAAAATATATTTTATCATGTCTTAAGTTTATTTTGTAATTTTCCAAAAAATAAACAACTATTTGTGATCTTTTGACGTTACATTAAGCAAAATAAGTCTATAAAAGCTAAGTATATGCGATAGCAGTAAAAAAAAACCCAGTACAGTGGGGACGTGGCATAGTTGGGTCCAGTATAGATTTAATCTGACAGTGATTAAAATCACTATCATAAGAAACGCTTCGATGCAAATCTGTAGATGTTTAATTCTAAGAAATTGGTGGATAATTACAAAAGAAACATAAACTATATCTTTAATTATATCCAGATTAGTAATTCTTAGATTTAAAAATATAATATAAAATTACATATTATATAATTGTTATATTGAATTATTTTCAAATTATTATTGATTTTCATTTTTAATATGTTAAAAGTAATAATTTTTAACCTACTTTATTTCGTCTTTTAAAGTGAAAGTTTATAATAAAAAAAAAATGAATTTACTACCATAACTTTTAGCTCAACTTGCAAGTTTGAAATTGACATTATTAAATAGAAAAAAATGAAATTGTTAAGATTAATATGCAGTCAGGAAATTTTATAATTACTGTTTACAGTAAATTTATCAGAAAAGTTCGATTCTTTTGCATTTTTATCGTAATAAATCACTTAAATAAAAATCATAGTAATCAATCATTTTTGATTAACTTTTGGTGATTAAAAAAATTCTACAATGGAATATTCAGAACTTTATTAATTTTAATGATTTACTTTAACTAAAAGAAACAATAAAAAAAAAGTTGTTAAAAAGATTTACTCAATTGAGCGTATTGTAAAATATAATTATAATTGTAAAAATCCATCGTTAAATTCAGGTAAAACTAAGAATCATTTTTTTTTTAGATTTATGATTTATATAGCTACATGCTACAACAAAATTTGGAATATTAAGACTGGTAGTAGTACACACAAATAGAGTTAAAAAATTAATAAATTACAAAGTAAAATGATTTACTTTTGTAGTTGAATACTTTTATCATATCAAATCTAATTCGATAATAAATACTTTAAAAATATTAAAAAATAATTATTTTAATTATTTGTATGGAAAAAGCTGGTTAAGCTACTTTTTATTTGAATAAGGGATTTTTTTTCAATTTTTAATGGTAATATCTTCAACTAAATACAATTTGTGATCTTTTGACGTATTGTTGAAAGAAATCGGTCCAGTGAGGCTGAAAAAAAGCGTCAACAGACATAAAAAAACACATCATGGTAAAATAAATACCTTTTCAGCTTCGCATCGAAGCTAAAATCACTGAATATTAAAATAATTGGTATTGCATGGAAGATAAAAAAATACCTTGTAAAATGTGAATATAGGCATCACAACTAGCACAAACATTAAAATTATTATTGATATTCGCGTAATTTTATATAGAAAAAAAATATTGTGACAATTCTTTATATAATTCATATATTAACTGTTGAAATTGCAGTTTTACTAATTAAACCCACTATAAAATAATTAAAAAACTTTAATATCTATTAGTATTGTGTAATATCAAACTTATCACCATTTAAACAAGGATTAAATCTCAATAAATTGAATCATTTTTATGTAAAGCTTACACTAATTTTACCAAAACTAATATACCAAAAAGATATATTTGTTAATAAATTGAGGTAAACTAGTATAAGTTATAATTCTTAACTAAAAATTTTTTTATTGATTTATAATCACTTTATATAGGGAAACACTTATGTACATAACAAAGATATCATTTTTTGTAATATAATAAAATAATAAATTCTTGTTACAATCTTGTAATTGTTATTATCCACTGAATATAAATATTTATATCCTTTGGTTATAAAATTATAAGCTACTAGATAGTCATAATGGAGTAATGACGCCCGCTAAAAGTTCTTGTATTATATATATGATAATTTTATTAAAAAACAAGTTATTTAAAAAATCAAAGATTTTATGTTTTTCAATTGTTTAGTTATGTGTTTTTAAACGAAATAAGAATTTTTTATTGGTAGAGATGTATCAAGAGACTAAAGAAAAAATAAAATGTAAATAATTTATTTAAATATAATACTTTTATTTTTATAAAAATAAATTTACTCTTTTTTATAGCTATAACTAATCACAACCAATATTATAACTAACGATAAGTGGGATTACCAATTCCATAACCACTCACAATAAAATGTTAATTACCATTTTATTTCAACAATTTTTAATGGATATGTTAATGTGATAGTGTGGAGGCATAGGCATAGGGACTTATTATATTGCCTATAAACAATGGTTGAGTTTTTTTTTTTTAAGATATAAGCAATATTGATTCCTATAAAAAAATTGTTGCAGATTTTTCTTTAATGGGCGCCATTCATAGATACACTCACCCCTTCGAAAAATATTACATTTCACTAAATTTGAATTTATTATTATTATTAAATGTATATAAACAACTTAATTTATAATTAAAAACTAAAAAAATCTTTAACAAGAAAAGCCACAAAAAAATGTCTAAATTTTCGCAATTAAATATTCAAAACAATGTTACTATTATCAGCAATAAACACATACTGGCACTCCGACCAGAAAAAAAAACCCTTTTACACCCCTAATGACATTATCACCTAGTAACGTTATCACTAAGTAATATTATCACATTTTGCTAGCTTACACAAGTTTAATAATGAATTTTCAATGGGCAAAGATACAAATTAATTAAATTGTTCTTATTTTTAAACGTTTCTATTGCCTCCTTATATTAAGTGCTTTGTAATTATTGACGTTTTTATGGTTTTAATGGAGTGATTGTATGTCAATAAATGTTTAGCCTCGGGAGATTTATCAATTTCTTAATTTTTAATGTTTCTCTTTAGTATTCTTTAAACCTGACTCTTATATTTCTTTTGTTTGTACGACGTAACATTTATTTCAACTTTCACATTGAAAAAAAGTTAAAGAAAAAACTATAAAATTAACTTTTAGATCACAAAAATAAGGGGCAAATAAATAATGTTAATAGAAGTCCTGTAGTGTCATTTTCTAGAAAATGAGGGGACGATTTAGTTAAAATTTAAACGAGTGTTGTGTTTTTCGTTAAAGAAACTGAAATAATGAAGTTAGATCTTAAAATAAGTTTTTTGTCATAAAAATTTCTGATAGAAGATCTTCTATGGGGTTAAAAGTGTTGATTTTAATGGTCAACACTTAGTAAGACGGGAGCGTTCAAATTTTCTACAAAAAAATTCTGTTGTAAGTAAAGAGTGTTTAGAAAAAAATGAAAAAAATTTACGACTCATACAAGACTTAAAAAGTAAAACTACTTTTATTTAAAATCAGATAAGAGGAATCCATAGTAATTCTGAAGATCGAAAATTATTTTGATAGAGTATAAAAAATGATTCAAGAGAGTCCCTATAAAGAAATTAAAAAGAATCCAAGTAAAATGATAAGGAAAGTTAGATACGTTATCAATATTTAAAAATTAATAATTTATGAAAAGTTCAGTTCTTTTATTAAAATTTCAAACCTTCAAATACCTAATCTATATTTTTGCCAAAAATGCATAAGCCGGGAAATAATATAGGACTAATTGTGTCAAATATTAAACTTACTATTTGGCTAAACACTTATTAATGGTGTTTTCAACTGTTCAAAAATTCGATAGCTTTTCAGTTAAAAATAATATTGACTTAGTTCAAAAATTATCAAGTTAGAGTATAACTTAAAATAATGATAGGTTAATTTCTTTTGACGTAGTAGCCTTATTTCCGATTATTC